TCTCTTGCTTAAAACTTTTGATCCAGTGAGCAATAACAAAAAGTACATTAAAATTTCAGCAGTCAGATCACATTTCAGCATTATATTTTTGCTTTTCTCAGAACAAACCCAGTCTTCTCTAACACTTTCTTTGCTGGCATCTGTAATCAAGACATTAGCTTTCACCCATACCAATCAAATATCACCAATCATAATAGAAATGTAAGGAGATGATTACTTAAATTTGTGACTTCACTCTTCTTTGCTAAGACTATTTGATGTTCTATCTTTAGTGAGCAGAGTTCATGCAAGCTCTGTCTGACCAAGTCGTTAACACCACATTTGAGATGGAATGAGAAGACTTTTGTGCGGAGCTGCTTTTATGTGGCTGTGAAGTCTGTCCTTTAATTAGCATTCCTATCTGCTTGCAAAACATGCTGTTTAATCCAATTTCTATATTAAAAAAAAAAAAAGAAAAGAAAACACAAGAGTATTTCTTCCACAAAGAGTGACAGAAAAGCATGTTTGAATTTTTAAATCAAAACTCTATGAACCACTTAGGCTTGGATATCCATCATCTCTGTGGAAGTTCAAATGGGCATAAGACTCAAGGGCAGTGGGGCTTGGGAGACATGAACTGAGGCTGAAGCTGAAAACCTAGCGGAATGCACAGTGTCTCTCTGAGAAACGTGGTTGCTCTTTTAGTTAGTGGTAATTGATGGTCAATAGGGACTGGCTTTGTCACTTCTAGTCTCTTGAGCTGAGTCTGATGGGTCTCTTATTATCCATAGAGATGTTACCTCTACCCCCAGAGCACTTTTTAATTCAGTATCTCCTTCGGGCAAGTGATTGAGTTCCCCTGTAATATCTTTAATGGACACTGTGTTGCTAAACCAAGGAAGCTTGGGATGGAAGAGACAGGTATTTATTTTTAATGGGGTCACCCTGTATCAGGTGTAACTTTCTGCTTATGGGTCAAATGCAAGTGTCACACTGAGTAGATGTTTCCATAGGATGAGCAGGGAGTAGAGCTTGTTTGTGCTACGGTTCCTTGGCCACCTGTCTTTGAAAGTATGCAGTGCTAACAGGCTTGTAAGTCATCCTTGTTGACAACTGGTGGCATGGAATTGTAAGATTCAAGGATGTCAGTTGGACATTTTTTTCCAATTTATACATAAAGATTTTGTCTTTTTGATATTTCAAACACTGATAATACTAGCAAGTCAAGCTTCTCTTTGTCTACTATAGGGCAGGACTTGGTAAAATGTTAGACTTTTGCTTGTCCTGCTGAATAGGATTAAATTAATTTCTATGATAAAGAATCCTTGAACTGTGGAATTTATGTCTTGGGAATCACCCTTCTTCAAACTTTTTATAAGTACTTTAGAAAATATTACTAGTAAATTAGTTAAAAAGGCAATGTTGCTATTCCACCCTTGATATTGGATGCAAGCAGTAGGAATCAAAAACACATTAAGGCTTTGTTTTTAGTTTTAGAAAACATGCAAGTAGCTCATACTGTATATTCATACATTCTTATTTTTTTCATTGTTTTATTTTTAAAATTCAAAAGAATTACTAAATCATGTATGTTTCAGTGACTGTAAGTTTTGATTATGGTTCTGCTACTAACCAGCTGGATAAAGTGTGAATATGATTTAATTTACCAATAAAATAATGGGATGAGATGGTGGATTTCTTACAACCATTTTGATTTTATGAGTTTATGATCTTGTGTTCTTTGGGAGGCCAGAAGATATATTATGTTACCTATAAACTAACATTATATGTTTTCTACAGAATCTCTGTCTAGTATTTAACTTTTTATTTTCTGTGAAATTTGAACCTGTTCTACCTGGTTCCTTAACAGTTTCTTCTCATGAATAACAAAATAATGTAACTGACAAGGTCTTAGAAAGCAGCCATGTTGTTAACATTGTTGAAAGGCTTATTACAACATACCTTCCTTGAGCTATCAGGATGTTGCCCATGCTTGGTAATCAATGGATGAACCCAGCAAGGTGTATGGCTCTAGGAATCTATTCAACTCAAACAAGACATATACCAACCACCCCCTTTTGTAGCAATGAGGGATTATTTTTCCCTTTTAAAAAAGATTTTCTTAAAAAAAAAAAAACAAACGAAAGAAAAGATTGCTTGTAAGACTAAAATTATGGGGAGAATACCCACTAAAACAGTAAGTGTATTCGATTCAGGCTGGACAATAAAAATGTATCTAGTAGCTACCATGTTCTAGGCTTTTGTCTGATTAGTGGAGGTATCAAAATATATTAGACAACCTTCTGTAAAAATCTTATAATCTAGTTGGTGTATCAAGTTACCTGTAATGAGAGTTTTAATACAATGTGATAAATTCAGTGTGAACTCTACCATGCAGACAGAGAGAAGGGGCCTTTTGGGAAAATCCTTGGAAGGAGGTTGGGCAGAGGAATCAAAGGAGAACTCCAGGAAGGATAACTTCAAAACCATATTGAACAATATGCAGGGATTTTTTAAGTTGGAAGTATGTCTCAGTGTATGTGGCAATGTTTACATGTAGGTATGTGTATGGGTGTGGATGTGGGAGGAACAGACATGAGGGGGAGGCAAATAGCTTGGGTCAAAGAAGCAGCATACAGAGAAAGGTTATATTTTTATTAAATATAGCAATTAAACAGATGGTTGTCATATAAAAAAATATCGGTTAGGTTGACTAGGTCTTTTTTTTCTCAGTCTGTTGATTTGCAGCCATATAGACCCAATTACAACTAACGCTTAACTCCACAAAGCAAATGCAATGTTAATTTATGAGGAAGACTAAAGGACACATGACTCTGCTAATCAAACATAGTGTTATTATGAAGTCTTTTACTTTATATACAAAAATAACTTATTACTTAAGGAACTATTTCAACCACATCAGAGAAATATTTGGAAAATGAAGACAAAAAAGAAATTCACTACCATATCACAATGATTATTGTCTTTAATTTTAGGGTTTCTTCCATTTCTTCTATTTTTTTCTTTTTTTAACTTTTTTTTAAGTATACATACAATAAAACTCACTATTTTTTTAAACTCACTATTCTTTTATGTATAGCTCTGAGTTTTGATGAATGCTTAGGGTTACATAATCATCATAACAATCAAGACACAGAATGGTTCTGTTACCCTAAAAAAAAAAATCCTCATGCTGTCTTTTTGGAGTCAAACCTTCATCTCACCTTTACCAAATACAACTACTGATCTATTCTCTGTCCCTATAGTTTTACACATCCCAGAACATCATATAAATAGCATCATACAGGTTGTAGCAATTTGTACCTAACTTCTTTCATTTAGCATAATACATTTGAGATTCATCCATGTGGTTGCATCAATCAATAATTGGTTTTTTTTTTTTATGTATTGCTGAAGATTTCACTGCATGACTATACCACAGTGTACCATTCACCAATTTAAGTACATTTGCATTGTTTCCAGTGTTTGGAGATTATAAATAAAGTTGCTATAAACATGCATGTACAGATTTTTGTGTGAAAATAAGTTTTCATTTCTAGAAGTGGGACTGTTGGGCCATGTGGTAAGTGTATGTTTAACTTTATAAGAAACTGAGAAACTGTTTTTAAAGAGACTAACATTTTGCATCTCCACTAGAAATGTATGACAGTCCTAATTACTTTGAATCTTCATCAGTACTTGATGTTGTCAACTATTTTTTTTTTAGCTACTCTAATATATGTGTAGTAGTATTTCATAGTGGTTTTAATGTGCACTTCCTTAATAACTAATGCTGTTGAGCATTTTTCTTATGCTATTTGCCATCCAGATATCTTCTTTAGTCAAGTCTTTTGCCTATTTTAAAATGTGTTTGTTTTCTTATGGTTAAGTTTTAAGAGTCCTTTTCATATTCTTGATAAAGTACTTTATTTGGTATTTAATTTGCAAATATTTTCTCTCCTGTCTTCTCATTTCCTTGAGAGAGTCTTGCAAAGATTTTAATTCTGGTGAAATTCTATTTCTTTTTTTCTTTTTTTTTAAAGATTGATTGATCGATTTTAGAGAGACAGAGCACAAGTGGGGTGGGGAGGGGAAGCAGAGGGGGAGGAGTAAAGGGGAAGGGAGAGGGACAAGCAGACTCTGTGCTGAGCGTGGAGCCAGATGCGAGGTTCAGTCCCATGACCAAGATCATAACCTGATCTGACACCGAGTCTGATGTTAAACTGACTGATCCACCCAGGCACCCCTAATTTTGTTTCTTATATAGATTATGCTTTTGGCGTTATTTTTTCTATTTAAAATGCCTTTTTAAGGGTGCCCCTAGGTGGCTCAGTTGGTTAAGAAACCGACTCTTGATTTTGGCTCAGGTCATGATCTCAGGATTGTGAGATTGAGCCCCTTGTCAAACCCTGCATTGGGCTCTGCGCTGGGCATGGAGCCTGCTTAAGATTCTCTCTCTCCCTCTCCCTCTGCCAATCCCCCTCTGCTCATACTCTCTCTCTCTGTAAAAAAAAAAAAAAATCCTTTTTAAATATTTGTAGCCTTAGAATGCATGCAATTTTTTATTGTCTATTTTCATCCAATATTATATCAAGAGCACCTTTTGGTGTTTTATATACTTTCATTCATTCTTGAAAATAACACATTTTCCAAAGAAGATAATAATGTATTCATTTGTTCAGCATAAATTCATTGAACACTTATGATGTACAGAGCATTATAGTAGCACTATAATTTCTTTCACTCTAAGCTTACATTCTAGTGTAACATTTCTTGATCTATTTCTTAAAAATGCAGATTGTCTTGTTCTTTCTCTGAAAATTAATTTAATAGGTGTGAGGTACAACCCAATAATTTTTTTTAGAATTACCTGTAAGTCAAATTTTAAAAACATTAATCACATAGATAATAACATTATATAATGTTTCATAATAAGTTTAACCTTATTGAATATTTAGATTGCTTTTTGTTTTTCTACAATAAAAATTATGTTAACAGTGTGCTTTCATTATTTTTAACAGAGTCTACCAACACAGGAAATAATAAAGATGAACAATAAAAGAACGAGAGAGATCCACATACATATGCACCCTGTGAAAACAAATTACATTCTGTTCACATAAACTCTTCAGCAGCTGATAAGAGCAATGTCCAGATTTCTTGAAAAGTAAGCAATATTATATTATCTTTGTGTGTACCTAACTTGAGTCCACATTTGTAGAAATAAAATACAGTTGATCCTTGAAAAACATGGGGGTTAGGGGAACTGACTCCCCAGTCAAAAATCCACAAATAATTTTTGACCCCCAAAAAACTTAACTACAATAGCTTACTGTTGACCAGAAGCCTTACCGATAACATATACAATCAGTTAACACTAATTTTGTATGCTATATGTATTATATACTATATTCTTAGAATAAATTAAGCTAGTGAAAAGAAAATGTTATTAAGAAAATCACAAGAAAGAGAAAATGCATTTGCAGTTCTGTACTGTATTCATAAAAAAAAAAAAATCAGGTCTAACTGGACCCATGCAGTTCAAACTCATGTTGTTCAAAGGTCAACTGTAACTGTTTCTTTTTATGACTAACTCAGATGAATGGTATAAATGAAATTTCTATTGTTTTCTTGATAATGTCTTAATGCAATTTCAAAAAGCTGGAGCTATGTGGGAAGAGGCATAAAACTCTTAAGTGTCTATATAATAGAAAAATACAGAACTTCTGAGCCAAGCAACTGATGTTCTTTTCAACGAAAGTTATAATCCAGCTGCAGCATATTTAGTCCTCTGAGCTTGTAACTAACTCTACTTTCAGTCTCTGGGGGGAGAGCTGAACACCCAGGAAAGCTGGCAAAAAGCACACAATTATTATGATTGGATCCAAATATGAGGAGCTGAAATCACACATTAATACAAACCCATTTCCTTCATTGACCTTGGCATTGCCTCCGGCTTTGTCAGGATAGTACATTTATGACCTGGTTATCTGCTTCCTGAAACTCCAAATTCCTTAATTGGCTTTAAATGATATACCTATGGAGAAAAAGGAAAAATTTATTTGAGTTAGGGATCCTTGGTCTCTTACTTCATACAAATATGTATAGTGAATCTTTCTAGAAAGGGATGAACAATTTCCAGAACTTTAGGATCAGTGGAATACTATATTCAAATAATCATGGGTGAGTATAGTACAAGTATCTTCTTCTATTCACTATAAACTTTGAAAAGATATAAAAGTGAGCAGTGGTAGGTTTACATAAAGAACAAGTTTTATTATGAAAAATATATATTCAATTCCCGTTTTTTATATCATAATTACCGCATCCTACATGGTGTTATATTTTAAATAATCATTCTCACCAAGTTCTAAAAATATCTCTCAGTGCAACACTTTGATGAGTGCAAAAATATTCCCAGGCCTCCATCTGAGAATTTCAGCACTTGTACCCATTTTTCAGGATTAAAAATTCTCCATCTGAGAATTTCAGATTAAAGACCGTGGCCCATTCATTTAACAAATTCCTATTACTTCTTAAAAATATAAAAGCTACTCAACTCACCTGAGGGAAAAGGATAAAGGAGCTAACCTTTATTATATTCTGGATACAAGCAATTTTTCATGATACCTCTCATTTGACCTTCACAGTAATTTTTTAAGGGTGGCATAAACATTTTAGGGATGATGGAAACCAAGGCAGATAAACCGAAGTGAACCTTTTAACCTTGACACCTTGCACCTTCCAATAGTGGAAAAAGTGATTCTTTTTCTATGGAGTGCAATCAGGTGATCTCATGAATATATTATTAGTTGATGTCAGAAATAAAACTATAAGAACATGTCACATAACTGTGGTACTCCTTACCAGCCTTTGAAAGACAATAAAATAATGCACACAACACTTAATACATTTACAAGATGCATGTGTCTAAATGGTTGTGTAACACTTTAGAAAAAGAAAAAAAAGATCTTATTGAAGCATTTGTCCAGAAATTAATGAATTAATTTCTCTCTTTCAACATTTATCAAGCAAATATTATGAAACTAGTATTTTCATGTGTGGGTATATATCTGAAGGAGATAAAATCACTATCTCAAAGAGATCTCTGTACTCCCTTGTTCACTGCAGCACTATACATCATCACATACATCAACTAGTATTTTAAAATGCAAACAAAATTTTGTGACTCCTGATTTATAAATGGGGAGACAGGCTCAGAGAGGTGAAGGTGATTCAGGTAGTCAGTGGGTACAGCCAGGATTCAACCAGATCGCCTTGAATCAAAGTTCTTCACATTGCCTTCGTCTAATTTCTCATCTAGATGGTTAACAAACTGCTAAATCTGCAACATATGCTATACTTTCCACCTTAAATTTTTACATTTCCTCTTAAATGGGCATCCCCAGCAATTCCACCTGAAGCTTAAACTTTTCCTTTCTTATGCTTGTCTTATCATTTCTCCTCTCCAGGTTGGTATCTGATAAAATCTCCCAGTTTTGCTTTAATTGGCATTGGCAACATGTGGTCTCTGATAAAAAGCATATTTTCTTTTGAGATTGCAATCATCAGTTGGGCTCATTTTTCTTGGCCCCACCATCAAGCTGAACTTATTTGGAAAAAGAAACAGCAGCTTGTGGGTTACTAAATGCCAGAGAGCTGAACTTAAAAAAAGAGAGAGAAAAAGTCACAGGAAAACAGCTTAAAAATACATTTAGAAAGTCTCGTGTGTGCGTGTGTGTGCGTGTGCGTGCGCGTGCGTGCGCGTGCGTGCGTAAGCATAGGCTTGCATCAATCACTCTGTTCACGTATAATATATAAGCAGAATTAGTCTGTGTATGCAAAACTCTTAAAGGGCATGGTTTTTACCCATAGCCTATTTATTCCAAACATAGCTAAATGAGGAGGCCAAATATAGAAAGTGATGCTCCAGGGGCCCTACGGCCTATATAGAATTTAAACTCAAATGATTTGCAAAATCACTACTAAGACAGCTTGCTCATACTGTCAGCGCGCCAGCACCAGAAGCTTGGGGTGTATTTTTGTCTTGGCAGATGCACATTCTGTTATAAAGGTCTGTTCATCTGATGCCTTCCTTGTTTTCAGGTAATGCTCAGCGCTTTCTTGCAGGGGGAGGAGTGTTGTTGAGCCCGTGTCCCTTCTCCCTGTCCTGTAGGAGAGACTGTCTACACTGACTCTGACCATGGGACCAGTGTCCCGGCTTACTGCCTTTACAGGTTCATTTCTGTGCCACAAAACTACAGGTCACGGGTGCTCTCTTCCTTTTTCTATGATTCAATTTTATTTTCAACATTTGTCAGGGCAGAGGGAAATAAATCAGTTTTAAGTGATATTGACAATGATTACATTTCTTTAAAAGTCACCTTAGTTGAGGAGGTTTTTTGTTTTGTTTTTTTTTTTTTTAAGATTAAAACATCGTTTCCCAAACTGATTAGCATAGTTTTTAAGCCACTCTGAAGTGTTTGTTAGGCTTCCATGCTGGTCTCCATATGCCTCTTTTCAATTACATGTGCCGCCACAAGTATGGCTAAATGAAACGCTTCTTTAAAAACAGAAAGCAAACTGTTAGGCTTTGTGCAGTGTAACTAGTTAGAGTGTGACATCTCAAACTGCCCTGATTTCATCACCAAACTGCTAAATGTTCTGATTGCAGAAATAGCCATGAAAATGTATCTTAAAATGAGAGAACTCTGTGGGAATTAAAGAAGAGGAGGAGAATTGGAAGGGATTAAAATAATATGAAAGGGAGTTTAAATCATAGTTGTCCGGGAGGTTATCTGTGGAGAGGATTTTTATGACTGTGTGGTTGTAAAAATAATACTAATAGCCATAATAAGAATAATTCTAATGTTTATTGACTACTTCTTAAATGTTAGGCATGATTCTAAAATCTTCACATTAAGTCAGTTTATTAACCCAATTAGTTAATCACAGCAACTCTATAAGGAAAGTATTAGAATTTTACACATTAAGAAACTGAGACAGAGAGATTTAGTAATTTTCCTAAGGGCCAGAAGCTAGAAAGTGGTACAAATGAGATCAAGACTAGGTAGTGTGGCTCCAGAATTTACATCTTATTTTAAGGTTCCTTGGAGAAACAAACACGAGGATTATATTAGGAAGCCCTTTGTTCATCTATGTGTTGCTCCTCAGTGGGTTATATTACTAGATTGTAAATTCTCTTGTATCACCCACTAGAGTGCCTGTCATATATCCAGTTCTCAGGAAATGTTTGTGGAATAAATGAATAAATGAATGAATGATATCTTACTTTCTGGGAAGTGCCATAAGTAAACCAATTAGAGTGCAAAACAAGACATCAGTTGGGCAAAACAAACAAACAAACAAAAAACAACTTGTGAAACATCTATTCAGCTTCTCATTTACTCTTTTCTTTTTCCAGCTTTATTGAGATATAATTGACATAAAACATCAAGTAAGTTTAAGATGTACAATGTGATGATTTGATGCAGGTATCTATTGCAAAATGTTTACCACAATAAAGTTCCTTAAGGATGTGAAGGCGATCTGGCTGTGACGTCTGTCACCCATGGATCACCCATGGATCACCATTGATTCCACTGATCTGGCTGGCTAGGCAGCTGTCCCCTTCCTCCCTTACTGCTGCATGTGTGTCCCTCCCAAAGCTGCGCACTCGCTGGAAGAGGACAAACAAACAATAAAGTTACTTAACACATCTCACATAGTTACTGTTTTGTTGCTATTGTTGTCATTGTTGCTGTTGTTGTAATGGTGAGAACATTAAAGTTCTACCCTCAAAGCAACGATCAAGTATACAATACAGTATCATTAGCAACATTCACCATGTTGTACATTAGATCCATGGAACTTATTCATCTTATAACTGAAAGTTTGTACCCTTTGACCAATATCTCCCCATTTCTCCTACTCTTCAGCCCCTGGAAACCACAATTCTACTCTGTTTCTATGAGTTCCATATTTTTAGACTCCACATATAAGTGAGGTCGTACAGTATTTGTCTTACTCGGTCTGACTTATTTCACTTAGCATAATACCATCAAGGTCCATCCATGTTGTTGCAAATGGCAGAATTTCCTTCTTTCTCACCACTGAATAATATTCCATTGTACATATATATACCATACTTTCTTTAGCCATTCATTT